GGTGTCCGTAGGCATTGTCTAAGCCCTTAGTATTATTAAGTTCTGATTTCAGGAAACTTGCTTCCTGCAGTAGATACCAATGACGTTCGCTGTTGACTTTATGACGACTTTACTTTCTATAGTATCCTTAAAGGGAAACACATGCTTTTTGTACATAAACACTACACCAAAACATAAGTATGTTGGCATACATAGCTGTTGCTAGTTTGTAGCATTCAGCTTTTCAGTAAATGTTTTCCTGTAATGTGATACAATGGTGCCAGGCACAGCTGATCCGCCTGGGAAGGCCTGCTTTCGGCCTGGTGTTTACACAAGGCTACTCAGCACAGCGAAACGGCTGACTGCAGAACGACCCCTCTGCCTGGGTGCAACAAAATCAGTGCTGTCTTTGAATTTCTAACATACCGATGTGGAAATCTGAGTAAAGTAACTTCTTAAAGGCAGGGGGATAAGACGATTAGAAACTCTTGCAGATTTGCAGTCTCAGTAGTTCCAAAAATAGGAAAAGTGAAGACTTTAGATGAGAACCTGACCCGAACATTAATGATTTCCTGAATTTCAACTGTGCCGAAGTACTTTGCACTTTCATGTGAGTTAAGGAACATATGTAAAGAGAGTCCCTGACAGCTTCTCTTAATGCCGATTTATGCGGACGTGAGGATTTCCTTCAAGTACACTCACCCATGTTAACTAAACAATCTTACCCACGCACCGCACAGAACCAGGTTACCAAAGAAGAAGAGAAAGGTGTGAGCAGAGGGGGGTCGTTTCGCAGCAGTCCCGGCCCAGGGGCGGCGCAGTGCCTGCTCCAGAGCTGCTGCGGGCTCCGGGTCCCGTCCGGCCCCGTCCCGGCGGCGGCTCGGGGGCGCTGGGCGCGGTGCCCGGCGGTGCTCGGCGCAGGAGGGAGGGAGTAACGCGAAACCAGGCGCGCTGGTTTTTGCCCGTAGCCCCGCGGGCTGCGATCTGCATTCCGGATGAAACCTGCAGCAAATCGGAAGGCAGGCTCGCTCTCGCTTTTTTTTTCATCGTCCCCCCTCTGGATTCGACTTCGCGGGCGCTCGCCGGGGCTCTCTTCGGGCAGCCGAGACCTGGAGCTCCGCACGGCAGCACCAGCGGGGAGCTTCGGGCTGACTCGGGCTTGACTTCGTTATGGGTGCAGGGCGGCGGACCCCGACCCCAGCGGAAGGGCCGTGCCGAGGCGTCCCGCGGGCGTTCAGCGCCGGGCAAGGCGTCCCGCTCGGCTCCCGCCCCGAGGAGGCAGCGCCCGGCCGCCGCCCGGCCGCCCCGCGCGTTTAGGCGCCCCGCACCGCCGCCCCGCTCCGCGTGCCGCGCCCCAGAGCCCTTGGTGCCGGTGACCGGGCCCCGCGGCCGCCCAGGACTCGCCGCGTGTCCCCGCGGGCCCCATGGGCTCCGCGGCCGCCGGGCGGAAGCAGCCGCAGCGGGGCCGGGCCGCTGCCTGCCCGTGCCGGGCCCGCGCCCCGCCGCCGCTGCCCTGACCCCGCCGGTGCCCGGCATGGAGGGAGAGGGCTGGGGGCCGCCGAGCCCGGCAGACGGCGCTTGCACCACTTTTTCCATGAAGACGCGATTCGGACTGACGGCCAGGTTGGAGCCGGCTGCCGCCGAGGAAGGGACGGTGCTCAGAGGCTTCCAGCCCCTGCGCGGCAGCCCGGACGGCCGTGCCGAGGAGCCCCGCGAGGGGAGCGGTGGCGACGGCTCCGAAAAGCCGGGTGTCCCCGCCGGGCCGATGGCTGGCAGCCGGCCCGAGCCGCCGCCCGAGGCCCCCGAGCTTGGCCAGCGGTCCCCTCGCCGTCTAGGGTCGGCACAGAGCTCTCCGGCCGAGTCCGACGGCGACGACAAGGATGCCATTCTGGTGCAGGGCACTTTGGTGCACACGACCAGCGATACAGAGTCGGACTGCGAGGGTAAGGACCTCGACAGCGACGGGACCCATGACAGCGAGTGTGGGCTACACAACGCGGCTTTGTCCGCTGGGGCTTTGGACGGTAACAGTGGAACCCAGGAGGAGTCAGAGGACTCGGAGGGGTGCAACCACAGTGATGACACCGCGGATAGAGATGAAACTGAGTTACACCCGCCAATTTCTAAGTGGCTCCCCAAGGAGCTGGATGGTTTTCTGGAGCATGACTCCAATGGAAAAGCCCGAATGCTAATGGACGAGCACTTGAGTCGCTTGCTTGCTAGAGGGGAATGCCCTCCAGAGCTTCCAGACGAAGAACAAAGACCTTCAGCTGATAATACATCTCTCCATAAGGCAGTGCTGGCTGAAAAGACTTTTCAGCTGCCCGCTTTCTTTAGTGGACTACGAGTGAGGAAAAAGGGACTAGGCACAGAGGACGGGGAGACTGTTACAGAAATCAAACCAAGGGAGAACGATTTAGCTCTGCTGAAGTTACGACAGCCTGTTAAGAAATCCAGTATTACATCAGGTTTGACCACAAAGAAAAAATCAGCAGAACCTAAAGCAAGTCCTACTTTCCTGGAACAACTCTCCCACTTGTTAAAAATAGACGTCTCCAAGAATGATGATAGAACCGAAGATTCTGGTGACGGGTTTGGGGAGACTGAGGAAAGTGATGAAGCTCAAGAGAACAAAGACCCTGGCAAAATAGAACCACAGTTTCCCTCTGAGGATATAAAACCAAACCCTGCACTGGATGTCGTTAAAGCTTTATTCACACGGCCTCCCAAAAAAGAAACAACTGCAGATCCTTCAGAGCTGGAAGCCCTAAAACGCAAAATGAGAAACGAAAAGGAGTCCTTGAAAGCCGTATTTGAAAGGTCAAAATCCAGACCTGGTGATGGACCATCAGACAAATCTGTAGGTTGACTTACTTTTTCTTCCTAAAATCTGGAAGTATATGGATATAAAATATTTTCTTGTTTTAAATTAATGGCGGGGACATAAGGTCAAAGTGTTGGAATTGTCTTCTGCTTTAGCAATCTCAAATCTTGGATTCCAAACTGAAGAAATCTTGGGGCTTTCAAAATTTTCAGTCATCTCAAGTTCTTGCAGAAATCAAATAGACCTGGTGATAATCACAGATTTGGATTAAAAGTCAGAAATTAAACATCAGTTTCTGATTTTAAAAGATGATTATGAAACAGTTGCTCATATATTAAGTAGAGCTTAAAATGAGTTTTGTGTTGCAAATACAAACTGTGATATTATTTAATAGTTTCCCAATCTCCCTCTGCTTTCTTTCTTTGATTATTATTTTTTTATTATTTTTATTTTAGTTTTAAAAGTACTATTTCATTTTGCCTTTAGGAATAATTCTAGGATAAGACCTGATACAAGAAGTTGTGGATGATCTTCAGTTTGATTTGTCCAAGGCAAATGTATTCACACAGCCTCCCAAAAAAGAAACAACTGCAGATCCTTCAGAGCTGGAAGCTCTGTAAAATTTAAATTTAAATAGAATTTTATAGTATTTTTTTCTTATTTACTTACATATTTTGGCTTTACAAATATGGAGAACTATTTAACCTTATGCAAGTATAACCAAGTGCTTCTAATTAGACCACTTAAGTTATGGTTAAATCAAATAGTTGCGAGGTTAATATTCCTATGCGTATGTATATTTGCTGATGTAAATTTTTAAGAAATGAAAAAAATCTTTGCTATTTATAAAAACCACAATGATAAATGAATTTGAGTGCAATTTAGACTTTAACAAAATGAGTAACTGTCCCTATGCCCCCCAAGCAAAAACTCTTTCAGCTACGTCTCTGGCAGATAGTATCAGTCCAGAAGATTGTTCATGTTGGCTAACAGGGGAATTACCTGAATGATTAAATTTGCAGGATCTGACCCTAAACCTGAAGCTACATAAGTTAATTTGCTGCGTTGGTTGTACTCTCTTAAAATTTTTATTCTTATGTATAATTAAAATGCTCATAAAAGATGACTGACAACTGGGCAGACTGCTACTACCAGTTTTAAGTAAATTACCTGCGGGGAGGAGGAGAAAAGAGGCACTCATTGGCATGTACAGAAAATGCTGTCAATGTGCCCTTCCCATTCCTGGGTTGCTGGTTCCTGCTTACGCCATTCCCTGGGCTGTGCTGGCACAAGCGTCTGTGTGCCTCACAGCAACCTGATTCGGGAGGCTGTACTCACGCCTGGTGAGGGAGGAAGCACAGGAGCCAGCGTGAGCGGCTTTTAGAAATGTCTGTTCAGTGTCTGGTCTAGTACACAGGTACATTTTCCCAGAGCAAAGCCAGTGCAAAAGGTCTTGCCTTTCCTTTTTCCTTGCCCAAATGGGCCTTTTATGGAGCCACTTTCATGTAGTGTTCTGCTGTTGCAGTTGTGTCTATGCCATTGATTGTATATTGTAAATCAGATTACAGAAAAGTTAGAGTTGTAAAAACCAACCAACCAACCAAAAAAGTAAACGCTAAAATGTTCTTGTTTATCTCCCCCCACCCCTCCTTTAAAGGATTATTTCACCATTCCAATTGACAGCACAGTCCCATAACCAGCTGCAGCAGCACTTTGATGTGGCAGTGTTACATACTATGTGGACTGAGCAAGCTGCCAGGGGTGTGGCTGGAATTTCTTAAACCAGCTCTGCTTCCAGAAAATTATATTGTCAAATGATGTCTTAGGTGAATCCCACTAATGTGTACTTGTAGGAGAAGTGCAGATGGGGCTTTTCGTTCTTGGAAAAAAAATACATGGAAAAAAAAGCTTCCTGACTTCTTGGTTCACCAAAGCGTAGACAGCCTTCCATGCTGATATGAACAGTTTCAACACAGTCATCGTAGATCATGTGCATTAGGGTATTTTTCTCCTCAAAATTATTTTTCCATACTGATTTCTTTGTGTCCCTTCCAAATAACTGAGCACTTTTTGGATCACTGGAATGAGACAGATATCCATTCTTGAGTACATATGTAGAGCTGGGGATGGCAGTTGCTATTTTGGAATCAATTGATACTGCTGACTTTAATTTTTTATTTTTTCATAATTTTAACAGCCTGATCTGAGCCCCTCAGAGCAAGATGACAAGACTCCAGGGAGACTCCAGACTGTCTGGCCACCACCGAAAGCAAATCATGAAGAAGTGAAAGTAGGATTGAAGTACACAGAAGCAGGTAAAACAAAGAGATGAAGCATTTGCAGAAATTAATTTCTGACATTTTTGTTGTTTGAGATAGAGACAGTGATAAGTCACAATATTTTCTTATCTGTTAAGTGACAGTACTGAGCTAATGGTGACTTGCCAACCTTACCCATTGGCTCTGGCAGTGACCCTGCCAGAGTCTAGTCTGATGTGCACAGTTCTCTGTAGTGTCACACTGTTAAGTCCAGAATAAAAGTAATCATTATCACTTTTGCAACTTGTGTGTAAACAGAGGAATGATAATATCCACTCAGAGCATGTGTGTAGCTAGCCATGTGTATTCTCATATACAAATGTGTAAGGGGGCACTTCTGAAGTGCAATGCTACCTAGTCATCAGATAAACATTCCACAAAAAGATACTTTAAAGTTTTTTGTTTTTTTTTAACTTAAAAAAAAAAAGCCTTTTGTTATATAAATACTTATATCACATATTTACAAGGAAAGAGTGAGTATTACAGGTGCCACAACCAAATTTATATTCTTAAGTATAAAATAGGATGTCCTTGTTACTCAGAAGTCAGTTCTGAACCATGGAATTGTCAGAAATACTGAAATGAAAGACCAGTTGTGCTTCATGCAGCTCAAGATTTTAGAAAATACCGTATCAAAAGGATTAAGTGGAATTAAAAAACAAGCTTTTCTACTGCCTTGCTGTGAGAAAATGTGCATGGTGGTGGTGTACATTTATTTCCAATGCCAGTGAATATCTACCTGGCCTTGTATCAAGAGAAAGAATAAGTAGGAGTCCTGAACCTACTTCTTTATATTGTTCAATGTACTGCTTTTTTCCTCTCTATTTCCTGAGCTCTCTCTACCTTCATCTTTATTTTTGTATTGTTTTGTGATAAAGAGGGGATGTTAATGAAGGTGAAAAGCTGTTTAAGGTTAAGAAAACTTTTTTCCCCCAGGTTTTGGCAGGATCAACATGGTTTTAATGTAATTTACATTGCCTCTGATTGCTCTGAGGTGTGTGTCTATCACTAGATGACCAGCACAGGTTTTTTTTGTGCAAATACAGGTATTCAGCTTTTGACAACACCACAGTCTCTTTCTGTTACGCTTAGATTCTTATTATAGGCTATGTGCTTTCTGTATTTAATTTTCCCCAGATAAATATTTTTCCTTCTAATGACTATAATCATCTGTGGCAAAAACACATGCTGTAAGAAAAAAGGAAACTGAATTAACAAAAGCTCCAGATTCTACTACTTGCAGAGAAATTAGGTCATGCTTTCCTGAAATTTGAATAGAAAGGACAGACTGGCTTAGAGCCCATGTAAATTGTTACTCTTTTGTTACTGTGATATTTTGGGTGGCAGTGTCATCAACATGCTGATGGTTGGTTTGCTAAGTCAAGTTTTTATACAGACCAGATTTTTCAGTTCATTAGTCACTCCAATGTCTGGCAGAGAGGGATCTGAATGAAAACAAATTGCTGGTGATCCAGCTAGGATGAGACAGAAGTGGTGCTTTTAAAGGAAATAGGCAAAGACTATGTTTTAAGAGTGTAGCAGCATTATAGGTATTAACTGGTTTGTATTTCTTTCATCTCTGTTAATACTCATGGATGCCAAGAAAGCAGTGATGGCAGCAAGGACACTGGAAACACTTAGAAGTTGCATATGATGGGTCAGTTACAACAGTTGACTTCTCTGAGTATTAGGGAGATGTACACTATAATGCCTTAAAGCATTATACACAGGAATGTGTATATACAATCTTCTGCAGGTGAAGGATAGCACTGTTTATGAGACCAGCACAGGTGTAATTAAAAAAAAAAAAGTTTGTATTCAAAGTTGGTCTTACTGCTAGGTTGTTGTCCTTTTTTTTCCATTAAATGGAAGTTTTGGTACAGGATTACTTCTACACTCAGTCTCTGCAAAGTATCTGCAAATAAAGTACGTGTGTATAGTGACATTTCCCTTCATGCCCCGTCCCATCCAAAATTCCCTCCCTGCTAATGGTACCAAATGAGCTCCTTGTCCACAAAGTGTGTTTCTTTAAAGTATGATCCAAAGCAGATTATTGATGAATTTAGACTGTTCTCAACCTGTAACCTAAAACCCCATCTGTTACCACAGTATCTTGTTCTGACGGCTCTGATCAAATGAAGAGTTCTTAATTTCAGAATCAGTCAAAAATTTTCCATGGCAGAGATCTTCCTCCATTAGTTTTCCTGAACAGATTATTATTGGTACCATAGAACAATGCTAAAATAACTTGCTTTAACTTTCAGTCAACAGTTTATCTTAGTGTTCTAATTTCAGTGATTAGGAGTTCCATTCACTGAAACAATAGGAACCTGTATACGAACAGTAGTAGTAGGCAGAATTATTAGGTAAATTCATTTGGGGTTTTAACCCAAAATAAAGCTGTCATAACTGTGATTACATCCAAGGAGAAGAAATCTGTGGACATATGCCTTAGTACTTCTAATGAGGTACAAGAATCCATACTTATTTTATGAGGTAGCATAGCTTTTTCATTTGTCATGAGAAATTAGTGTTTGAAGTAAGACTGTTTGAAAACTTGCAAGCTGAATACTGTGATCTTTCTCACAATTCTGTTCTAAGTCTTTGATTTACTTCCTCCATCACCATGCAATATGACAGCTATGACAGGAAGGTAGAGATATTGTGTGAGAGGATTACTGGCTTTTTGATCTTTTCTCGCCTCCTTGCCATGTTTTTCCTCATTGTTCTTGCTGCCTACTGGAAGCAAGAAATTCAGGCTTAATTTGGCCTACGCGGCAGACATCACAGTGACTCAGAGCAGCTTGGAGAAGCAGCTAACTCCCTCCTGAGGCTCGTAGTCTGGCCTGGTATGTGGGAAACCAACTGAAAAGCAAATGGACATAACAAGGAACACGTGTGTGGAACTGACTAGGCCTGTTAGGAATATTAGAACTGAAAGAAGTTAGTGAACAAATACAACTCCTCACCAGATTTTTTTCATGCCTTTGATAACATCTTGTGTAGCCATAGTATTGTCACTCCCAACATTTAAAATTTACCAGTAAATATCCCCAAATCTTGAGTTGCAAATTTTGAATTAAAGGAAGGTATTACGAGATTTTGGCACACCTTATTATTGTTTTCTTAAACTTTAATTCCTCTGTTTCCATAGTGCAATTCACTGCACCGTCAACTGTCTCTCTGTAATTAACACAAACTGCTTCCATGGGTCTCTAGAGAAACTGGAACTTCTTTGAAGTTTGTCAGTCTAAAAATCCAACAAGACTGTAGCAGATTATAGTATTTACATCCTGGTAGACTGGAAGGAGGGTATTTTAATTTATAGTTACTAGTTTATTCCATGGAAATCTTTACTGTATACTCGAGACATTTCTGTGCATACTCCTCTGGTCCTAAAATTCAATTCTTCTGTTTTCAGTAAAAGCTTCTTTTTTCTTTTTTTCCTCATAATTCGTAGATTAATTTCTCCCATTTCTGAATCATTAGATCTGATAGAAGGGTGGATGTGTCAGCTGTTAATAAATGTGAGAATACTTAGCCACATAGAGGAGACAAATACATGTCTATAATGAGTGAACTCATCTATGGTATTGGATCACATAGAATCCACATACAGTGAATCTTAGCTGCTGCATATGATTGATAAGAGCTTGCAACCTGCGATGTCCAAGAAGGGGAGTTTAGAGATGAGTTCTTATGCTCATAAAACTACTTATGTTTGAAGAACAATCTCCATGTTGAGGAGATATAGAAGATAAGAACTTCAGGTCCTGTGATCCTTATTAAAATATGCATTTAGCCATCAAATTAGTTCTCATATAAAACTGAGAGTACTTCATCTTTTGCTTAAGCGGAGCAAAAATGGTAAAAATGATGAGAGAAGTATTTGTCATTCTGATCAGAGAAAACATTGAAAGAAAATCAAGTTGAAATATTAATCCATTTAGTGCTCTTTTTTGTTACATGCTTTCTTGCTAATTTTTTTTTTTTTTTATCTGACAAAAAAAACTAATCCTGTTCTCTCATTGTCTGTCTTATTCATCATACTTAAATCTTTGATGACATCTTGTTTCTTGTTGTCCACATGGAGCCACTTCATTCATATATATACATATATATATATATATATATACACACAATTGTATAAGCTGTAAGCACAATTTGTGTTTCAGGGTAAATAAGGAAACCAGGAGGTGACTAAGAAAACTCTTATTAAACAGAAAGTGTCTAAGTCAGTTGCAAATGACATAAAAAATAATGGCAGAGATTTATTCCCAAGTCTTTCGTATATTAAAGCCTTGGTCCCCTATGCTCTGGGTTCCCAGCAAGAAAATCACTTTATGGTCGTGACGTAAATGCAGAGAATAACCAGCTTATATGACAGAAAGAGAGGCATAATGATCTGAACAAAGAGATGAGAGATAAGCTTTCATATCCGTCTTTAACATGGGCTTCTGTTGTTGCCTCAATTTATATTTGTCTCTGCAACAGACATAATGCTTGATGTCAGTATACTGAAGGAAGTTCTAATAGGTGATCTTAATGTTGGTTTTATCATATTTTTTTTTTAAATAATTAAAATAAAATAAAATAAAGGCAAGCCTTTGCCTCATATATATATTTTTAATAGAGAATTTGGGATTTAACTTTATTAAATGAAAAATCTTGTTATATGGGTATGTTTCTCAATATGAGAGGTACTCGCTTTTCAAACTGCAGGTCTGTTGAGCAGTGTAGTACCAGAGGGCTGCAGGCAGTGAAGAGGGATCAGTCTCTTCCTCTTGCGTACTAGAGGACATGCAGGGCTTATGAAAAAGGAACTTTTCTCTTCCCATCTTGGCTGATACTTTCATTCCTACTGTGCCTTTGGAGATGGGAGTAACAAGACAGACATCTATTAATGCTGCTGATTTGTTGGTAAAACACCTGAGTTCCATTTCCAGCTTTTATTATGCTATCTTCTGGAATGACTTCAGGAAACACGAGTGTTGACCTTTCCACACTTCAGTTTACCCATCTGTAGAACTCAGATAAGAATTCTGACCTATTTTTCAAGCCAAATTAAATCCCTTTTCTGTTTAGAGGTTATTAACATCATATATGAGAGAAGAATGGAAAAGAATACTGGCTTCCCATGTTTAAATCTGCAAATAATAACACAGGATGGAAATTGTGCCTAAGGCCATGTGATAAAACATCTTTGCCTTTCTATGCACGGGGCATTATATTATTACAGGGTAAAGGGGGAGAAGAAGTGTGACTCACTTTTTCAGCTAAAATTTCTGCTTTTTTTCCATGTTTATTTAAATAAAGCAGTTTCAGGAGACCTGTTGGTTTTGAGTCTGGATGCATATTACAGCAGATGCCTAAAAAGGACATGTTTCACATTATACAAAGCCATATCTGAATACACACATCTGTGTAGCTGTAGATAAAATTTTGAATTTATATACAGAATTTATATACAGAACCGCATTGGTCCACTCAAAGTAGAAACTTGATTTTAAACTACATTTTCCTATTGAAGAGATTAATCTGTTAACTTAATATAATGAAGGCAAGTTCTGTGAATTCTTTTCTTTTACCATAGTTTTTACTTTGAAATGCAGGCACCGCTATGGGTCCTACCAATGTGGCATTGTGAAGGCCCAGAATGGTCACAGAATTTTATGAGATGGTTATTGTTACTTAACTGAAACACAGTGAAAGAACAGTTGTGTACAGCACAAGAGAATGACCTTGTATTTTATTTCCCTTGTTCTGTTTCAAAATATATGAGGCCCTTTGTGTAAGACAAATGCCTCTGATTTTTCTTGAATTCACTTCCTTGTATCAGATCTCATTCTCCAGTCTCATTGTTCACATGATCAAGGTTCTATTTGCTGCACCATTTGTACAGCACTGATTTACATACCAGTCCAAATGAAATCCTGAATCTGAACACCTCGAAGCTTTCTGAAAATATGAACCTGGATTCAGAACTGTTCTGAGGCTTTATTAGTTACATCTGATAACATCCTTCCCAAGTTCGCCCTCTCTGCTATGGCACAGACACGTACTCTTATCTGAAAAAGAAAAAACAAGCCACCACACCTATTTATTGTACGTTTCATCATTTTGTACACATCCATGTTTTAATGTCTGTCTACTGCTCTAAACTCATAGGTTTCTGAGAATATATCAGGGAAGCAGTGTTCCTGTGGGGGTGTGAACACATTATGTTCCTATACCCACATCCATCCACGTTCGAATAAATGTACATGTACACATGCATTCTCAATGCATGCTTGCTATATATACTATATAGTGATTGAGAAGGTGTTAGAGATCTACAGTCTAGAATAAATGTTAGGTATTTTAACTTTTTTTCTGAATGAAGTGGATAGAGAGGGTTTGTTACTCATTAAAGAAATGCTTTAATAAATTTGTTCCTCGTATTTTTGATAAGGCGTAATTTATTTGCCATATTGCACTTGTGAACACGATCCTGAAATAGATTGTTATTCAATATATGTACTAGGACATATATTGAGAAAGAAATCATGTTGAATGTCCCCAACAACAGTACATCTAATGGTGCCTTCCTGTGAGGATGAAAATCACAAGTGAAACTTAATTTCTGTTATCAAGTAAATGAACTATTGCTGTAACCTCACCTGCGACAGGAGGGAAATGATCAAGTAGATAGTTACTCAGGTGACTATTTCTGAATAGTGCTTTATATTGTTTTGCAGCCAGAAAGAGTAGAAGCTATTTTCTTTGTTTACATAACAGAATCAAGGGGTTGCTGGTTTTTCCTCTGGGAGGCCTGCTTTTCTGTGGGTATCGTTCTATTACTCCCAGGGAATTCAATAACTGTTGTGTAGTTACTTTGTTTTCTGTAGTAAGTTAACAGCTATGTCTTCAGGAACAGTACAGGTATTATCTCAATACTCAGACAGTGTTTAAATACTTAACTAATGGTGTGTTTGGAACTTGTTTCTCTACGTGTTCCTTTCCAGCTGTCTCCCTTCTCCACATCTCCCTATTTTCACTCTAACAGAATCTTTAAGGTGCAGAAAATTATCATTTTAAATCTTAGGCTTGCATGTTTCTTCCTTCTCCTGAAAGTCTAAAAATCATTCAGTAGACATGAGGGATGTCTGCTTATTTCTTAGGCTGGGGAATTGATTTCCATCGATATATTGAATTACAAGGCTGTAAAAGAGTTCAGGTTAAACAGGAAGTAAATAAAGGAGGAAAGGCAAGAGTAGATAGAATGAGGTGAGGGAAGAAGAGTTAGAACAACATGAAAAACTATATTCAGTATAGTTTTAGACAAGCCCTTATCCCTAAATAAGTCAATTTTAATTTCTTAGTTACAATGAGATGCTTAAATATTAAACTTGTTCAAATTGGTTCTGAGAAAGTTTAAGTCTTTCTGTCCGTTCTTTATAAACCTAAGCTTTGGGCTTTCACTGACCAATCACCTTGTAAAAAACCATGTAAGCCATGATTTATGTGCTTAAAACATTGCACTCATTTAACATGTTAAAAATTTTTCTATATTTCTACCAAATCTAATTCTTCTTTGTAAAAATTATACTTTAAATACCAGTTCAAGACAGAAGAAATGACATGCATCAATACATTTGTGGAAATAAATAAATAAATAGCTAAAAAGAAAGCAGCTGTGGTGAGGAGATGCACTTCTGGCACCTGGTGGTTAGAGCGGAAAGCTGCATGGGAAAGTAATGGAAGAGAAAAGAAAGGCTTCAGTAAAAGAGAATTTGAAAGGGGTGGGACCAATCGTTACCAAAGAGAGAGACAAGAATAAGAAACTCTCACTATTCAGAAATTTAATGAATTGACTCAATTTAAAGATAATGGATTCCTCAAGGCATGTAGATAACACTCAAGTTTTCCGGCTTCTCTTCTGTAATTACTTTTAAATTGTTTGATAACATTGTTTTGGACTTTTCATTTGATGAGTTTAATAAGTAAGATTTTTTACAAAAATGAATGTACTTTAAATGCCTTTAAACCTTTGACTGTCTACTTGAAGTTTTGAGATCATGGGGGAGAAGGTTCTTAAACTGATTATGTAAAGTTTTGAGGAATAACTCATCTATTTGAAATGTCAGTTGTGGAATTTTCTGTGTGAAAGGTTTTCATGTAAGATTTTACTTAAGCTGAGAGAAAGTAAGTGATTTGCTTTGTTGTCAAAGAAGAAAAGGTAACCTTAGAATATTTTGCATCTAAGTTTGTTTGAAACTTTTCAGGGATCTTAAGAAATATCAGGAGGCATTTTTCTTTCAGGAAGTCAGCATGTTGTATTTTCTGGAATCAGGTGCTCAAGGTCATCTTCTCTATGCATAAAGGGTCTTCTGAAAAAAAGCATAATCAGCACAGTTTTGAACACATATAGAATAGTACTGAATAATGTTTTAGTGTATACACTTGCTTTGTGCAGCAGTTTTGGAAATGAGAATTGCCATTCAATTGAGACAAGAACATTGTGATCCACTGTATCTAGTACTCCCAAAGCTTCAGGTTATATCTTCAGTTCACCAGATTGACCAGTGAATTCACCTTTTTTTTTTTTTTTGAAATGCTAATGCTCAGTGCAGCTTGCTCTGTATCATGACAAAGATTTAAATGAACATGTATATATTTGTAAATGTTATTGCTGCTTTGTATTCAAATAATTTCTTTGTAATTACATATCTGACCACATTTTAGGCATTTGCTTGAACTGTGTAGGCTGTTCAAAACACCTAGTGTTTATTTCATATTTGATTTTCTATTCATTAGGAAAAAACATGCATATTGAAGTATATATTTTCTTTGCAGAATAGTGAAGCACGCCTCATACTTTACTTGTCATTGGTAATATCATACTGTGTTTTATCTCTACTATCCAGTGGCATATGTCATATCTTGGCTATTGATTTATTTACATGTATTTTTCAATACTGACTGAGGTATATGCTTATAGCAATGAATAAAAAGCAGGGAGTCTGCTGGACTGTCTGCTAGGATACATATTTAATGAGTGTAAAAGTCTAAGTGCCCTGTGTGAAACTTGAATACAATCTTACTAATGCTTTTGTCTCTAGCTCACCTAAAGCTTTATGAGGAAGGACCACCAGGTGGGTGGAACAGCATAACGTTGTCTGTCTCTGTCAAGTCTTTGTTCTCTCTTGTTGTTGTAAAGGTGGTATGTACCTTTCCTTGATAGAACGGGAATCATAAAGGCAGAGTCTGTAGACGAGGAACTGTTTTCATTATTCTAGCTTGAGAGGCTGCAATTTCAGTTGCAGCTATCCTGCTACAGCAAGTGGTACTTAGGTCTGTTTCCCTGACTTTCAGATCCATCCCACAATGCTACGTGTCAAAGTTTGTGAAGCTGAAATTTGAAGACAGATCAGAGTGATATCACAATAGGGAACTGATGTATTACTTTCCTCTAATTTGGTTGTCTGTGAGCAAAATCCAGGTAAATGTAACCCATTTTAGGGAGTATCTTCTATCCCTAATGCTTGGGTTTGTTAGAATAAGCAATGCCTGATTATAATGAGCCTTGACGGGAAGACTGCAGCTGTAGTGAGAATCGGGATGGAGGCGTTTATTCTGAAGTTGTGGACTATACTTTTCCATTGTGAGATGTTCCTTATGTCAAAACAAGGTAACAGCTGAATTTAAGCAAAAAGACAAAGTGAAATAATTTAATAAATGTTGAGAAATTTCATAGCAGCATACTTTTACAGATTTGAGTAAATATTGCATATAGAAATGGCAGCTGATTTTGTGTGTGTGTACAAGAACTAAATTTAGCCTGTACTAGTTCAGTATTAGACTATTTTGGTGGATTAAAGGAATTACAGCTTTCAGATGATGGTGTTAAGTGAACTAACAAGTGTTAGTTCATTTCTTTAAGTGATACTTAAAGAAATGAATCCAAATGACTCTGAAGCCCTGTCCTGTTGCCTCTGAAATATCATGATGAAAGTCCACTCGTGGTTGTTACATGTACATTAGTACGTGTACATCGTAAAAAATAAAACAGTATTCAGGCATTTTTGCATAAATAAAAGCAACTTATATTGGAACTGTTAAAGCTTGTTAGAGTTCCCCTGCACATTCAATCAGTTATCTCAGGTTGTAAAAGTTATGTTGTCTGTGCAAACTGTCAGTAAGTGAGCATCTGAAGAGTCTGGTCTGGTCAGCTCGGTTCATCTCTCTCTGACGACTCAATTGCTGGCATTTTCCATTTCCCTCACATGAAGTAGGATTTTGATGGTGGTATGGAGGCCACAGAAACACTTAGATCTTTGGAGTTCCAGGCCACTCATGTAATTCACTGCTTGCTTGGAGACCAGGCAAATGAGCATGCTGTTCAGTTTATCCATCTCATAAAAATGTCATATTTTTTCCCTCCTTTCCAGTGGAACAAATAAGTAAACATCAAAGAATTGTTCATGAAACAGAAACTCCTACCACTCAGTTCTGCTCTAAAATGTGTTAGCAAAGATTTAGGCTGTAAATCATTGTTTACAACTAACTGAATAGCAATTTAGAGATGAGTAATTCATTTTTAGTTTGGTTTCATTTCAGGCATCTTAACTTACAATGTAGGGGAGAATTGGAAAGGAATAACTTACCATGTTTCATGTACAAACCAACTTACTCTGATTCATATTCCAGAGCAGAGTATTCTTGTAAAATTAGCTTTAATGGCTCTTTGTTTCGGTCATTCTGTGTTAATGTTTAAAACTCAGATATTAATATCTTCAGATAGCTCTTCATCTGTTAACTCAGTTCTCAATATGCAATTAAAACATCAGTCTGTATATAATATAATTGTCAGTGACTGTCAGCCTAGAATACTTTTTCCCAGTCTGTATGAAGACATTAAATGTTGCAGAATTTTTCTTACTAATTTTTTGGGCCAGGATGGTTGCATGGAAGATTCATGATTTCTTTCTGCAATTTTTTTTTCCTTCTGAAGTTAAAAATCAAAGGCTTTGTGTATACTTTCATATATGGACACATACCTTTTATATACATACATTTACATACATACATATATATATAAACGTGCGTATATATAAAATATTTCCAAAATAGATTTCTGGAGGCACAGTGCTTTATTATACCTACTACTTCTACTTCCTGGCCCAGTTGTCAGATAGGATCACATCATATAGACAGAAATACAAAGCTACTAACACTTTATGTAGCAAATTAGTGACAAATAGGACACTCAACTTCAGGTCTGCACAGAAATATTATCAGGTAGATGGATTTCCGTGCTTCTGCAAGCAGTTGTGATTTATAGGCATGTCAGTCCCTCTGTGGCCCTTGGTGGACTCCCTCTGCTAGCTCCATGTCTCTCTCCTACTGAGGAGTCCAGAACCAGACACAGTGCTCCACGTGCATCCTGACCAGTGCTGATTAGAGGGGAAAGATCACCTCCCTCAACGTTCTGGTAGTACTTTCCCTATTGCAGCCCAGGATACCATCAAGTTTCTTTGGTACAAGGGCTCATTGCTGGCTCCTGCTCCACTTGGTGTCCACCAGGACCCCAAGGTCCTTTTCTGCAAAGCAGGGTTGCATGCAGCATGCATGGGGGCTTGGGGTTGTTCTTCCCCAGGTGCAGGACTTTGCATGCCTCTTCCTTTGCGTGTTCCTGTCAGCTCATTACTCCAGCCTGTCAAGGTCCCCCTTGACGGTCCCACAGGTGTATCAAAGACTCATCCCCATTTTGTGTCATCTGTAAAACTGATGAGGGTGCAAAGGCTCTGCAACTCTACACTCTGCACATATACTCATAAATGAACTGAAAAAGTGAGCAGGAGATAGGAAAGCTTGCACCTGAAATGAAATTAGTAAGTGTAGAAAAGAATAAGACCTGAGAAAGTGCAATGCAAATTTATCTCATGAAAATGCCAAAATAAAAAAGCAACAAACATTTGAAGACTGATGGATAATGGCAAAGGAAATCCAAAATGAAGAACGTTAAGTTTTGCACTTGAGGAAGAAAGAAATCCAAAGAAAAAAAAGAAATCCTAAATTCACATATATAATGAACTCTGATCAGGTCATCACTCTTTAAATACAAGACCTCGGTAGGACCTTGATATTGAAATAGATCTTGGGAAAGATCTCTCATTTCACATACTCAGTAGTGATCAACCAATGGTAGTAGGAAACAGTAGGACAGAAATAAAAGACAAATATGTAGATTACTGTAATTCCAGTGCTTAAATGTCCACATTTTGAATTTGGTGGGAAACTGTAGTTTCAGAAGGGGACAGTAAGTTTGATCACAATTATGGAATGTGCTCTTTATGAAGAAAGACTATATAGACTAATATACTGTCACCCGAAAAAGAAATAATCAAGGGGTTTATGATGGAGATCTCTAAAATTGTAACAAATAGCAAATGAGTAAATAGCAAACACTTTTCTTCCAGTGCACGTATTGCAGACATCAAATGAGACTAACAGGTAGAGATTCCAAATAAACAAAAGGGTCTTCACCTAATGTGTAATTAATTATTTGCTGCAGGATGTTATCTGCTTCAAGGAGTTTTAAAATCAGCAATGCACATTCATGAGAGGAATCCACTTGCAAACTGTTAAATATGAAAACAACATCTGTGGTTTAAAAGTTCTGAATTGCAAATCATGTTGCTGGAAGAGCATGAGAGAAAAGTATGGCTACCTTTTTGCCTGTTCTTATTTTTTCATGTCACCTGCATTTTGGCTACTGTCAGAGACGGTATACTAGGCAAAATAGACTTTTGGCATGGCTCAAGGCGCATACAATTTTGTTCATTATGAAGCTGAATGATTTTTATTTCAGAGTGACAACTGGGATACATATGGTATACATATGACTAGTCATCTTACGTATTACTTCAGTGAGGAATTTCCTCACAAAGTAATGTGAGCTGAAATATGTCATATGTTCTGTATTTTTAGATTTTTATTCTGGTAAGTCTCAGCTAAGCTTTTGTATTTGGCTTCAGAAGTTTAGACCTGTGTGCTTTAAAGTTTCTGAGGCCCGAGGTGTTTTCACTGTCTGGTTTCTGGTTTGAGTTTTGTAACTATACTGTTTTCAAGCAATGAGAGTGCTAACTCCCCATTCCAACTGGTCTTTTGCTGTAAATCTAGTGCTAGCTTCCTGAGAATGCCCTTCATCACAGTCCTGCCACTCTACACTTGGCAGTTTTGTTTACCTCTGCAGGGACTTGTAGAAATAGGAACAAAATAGAGACTTTGCAATGTGTTCCTGAACCTCCATAGATTAGTAACATGAGTAATCCCAAACAAAATAAGATATTTTTACTTAATTCACTGACTTTCCTTTTGCTTTGTAGTGTCTTCTGGAAACCAAATTAGTTTCCCATAAGAAATCCAACTCATTTTACTGTTTTAATGTTCTACAACAAGTTTCTCTCTCCAAATTAGACACAATCTTTTACTTACACAGCTATTTTTTTCTCTAATATGACTCAGTGAAGCTCTGCATTGAAATCTACTTGACTGGGTAAATCTCAAGTACTTTCACTAGGTGCTAACTATTTCTCTGAAAGTGATCTGGATAGATTTCAGAACTTGGAAAAGTGATTTGACCTAGGCCAGAGGCATCTCTTTGACCTTCTATGTGCAGAGAGGACCTGCATGATTTAATGTTGGTGTATGTTGCCTAATGGATTTAAAATACATACGGCAAACCGTATGTTATAAGTTGCCCCCTTAATTAATTTTCAGAGAGCATTCCATTAATAATAGAAAGAAATTTATTGAGTAAGCAACAGCAAGCAAAACAGCGCTGGGCGGCCGGGGAGTCTCAGCTCCGCCAACGGCGTGCACCTCACCCCCGCCAGGGTCCCTTTTTATATCTTGGTAATTCTGGGATTACGCAGCACATCCTGCTATATTATGCGACTGTGCACACTGTTGCTAGGGGGTCGTCTCTGTCCCTCTGGTGGTCGTGAAGATGAAGGCCGTAGTCTTCCTCAGCGTTGTGGTTCAACTTCTTTTCTTTTGGTCATGTTGGCCCAGCGTGAGACAGGAACGCAGGATGTTGATACGCTAGTTTAGCAACTTATCTCCTTGATGGTTACATGAGCTTTGCAGC